TAAGTGATTTATATGAGAGTTGCTCCTGTTCAAGTATCACTTTAGAATACTGTGAAAATCCACAAGCTACAATGTATTCCATATTATAAAAACCAAATCAAAATAAAAATTCCTTTCCAAAGTTCCCCCACGCCAACTTCATCCAAATTTTAACATAGAAATTACTCTGCGTAGAATATCTGGAGTGAGGATTTTTCTATTTAAACCTTTTACTAGCTCATAGTATCTTCTTGGGTCTTGTACCAGTTTATCCAGTTATAAAATGGATTCTTTGTTCACCTGTTCTTTTATAATCCTTTAAAAAAGGACTTCGGGTGGAAAGCTGAAGCGTTACAATAGTTCAGCAAACAAGTGTCATGCAGAGAGAGTCTTCTACTCACAGTTCTGTGGACACTTCAATGTAGTGCCAGGCCATACTGTAGATTTATGGTACAACCATAATAAAGTAATTTTATTTCTATATGCCTCCAATTCCCACCAGCAAGATGGTGCTTGTGTTTTCTTTTGCCCATTTGTCTGGTGTGTTTACCCAGAAAGCAGTTTGTGCCTGGAATTACCGTCAATCATGTGCTTCAAGATGTAGCGTCCCAGTCTCAGTTAAGCCATCTAGCCCCCACTATAAAAAAAAAATTATATAATTCATAATTTAAGTAAAACATTTGTAAACAAAATAATTTTAAAGGTCAACTTTTTTGTGTGCAGAATTAAAAATAGGAGCAAAATAAACACAGAAATTTTTGCTTTTGTCACACTGCGACCACAATTTCTACAGACATTCCTCTGATGAGACACCATTACAAAAGTATATATTACATGGTTACAGAAATAAGTGGAGGAGCATACCATGCTGTGGAGACAATAATCCACAGAAATATGGTAAAACAAAGTTCCCAACAAGCTCACCACAACTATGGCTGGCAAGAACATAATTTCTCAATGTATTACAATCCATTTGAAAAGTTTAACCCTAACATCATCTAATCTGTGTTATGTTTCTGCATCTCAACTAGAATTTAAAATGTAGCTGGTAGAGCATAAACTGAGAAAAATAGTGTAACCAAAGAAACCCTAAAAGAGAGAAAACAGTAATCCTTTTTTAGTAAGAGAATCCTAATATTTTGGAAAATGTGGTTGATTTCTCTTAACACCAGCTACACAAATGGAACACCTGTAACAAAGAAACTGGGATGTTGTGAGAATAATTCTGCTAAGAAAGGGACCCAACATCATCTTTCACAACGTGCTGCTCTGCTGGCCCTAGGGCATTCATGCTAGAGACACAGCAGCCAAGTTTTAGCTTTTATTATCTTATTGCTTTTGGTTTTTTTTAAGAATCAAAAGCAGCACAAGCTTATGAACCACTGGGATTGTGAATAAGTATTTTACACGCATTGTTTTGTATCAATGAGTGGACACATCCTGTTTAACAACAGATATAATGGCACAGAACCTCATATTGAAGACAGAAATGCAAGTACAAACAGAAAATCTGATACAAACAGAAGACATCCTATATTGCCCCAGAAGACAGGCCAGTGCAAAGCTCCAATGTATAACATGCAAATGCTTAAATCAATAGTGCAAGCAGTAGCCGCTGCTTGCTGCATTCCTTACAGGAGCAGCCAAAAGGAACATAAGAAAAGGGGAGGGTGAAGAGACATTTACTGCTTATTTCACTGGCACCAGCTAATATCTTTTCTGTAGCTAATTCACTTTAATTCTTCACAGGGCAATGTTATGTAAAATATTTCTGAAGGAAGATTTTTTCCCTGCCTCTCAAGAGCAAGCATCAAAGCCTAGTAAACCATGTACTGCAGAATATATTTAAAGCTCAACAGCACTAACCGATAGAGTCACTGGAACTGAACTCTGGAGGAGGAGCTCTTTACATGCAGAGGCTGGGTTTCTATTTTCTGGCACAGATTATACCAGCTTACAGAAAGGCAGTATTTTACAAATCTTTACATATGTACCCAGAAGCTTTTGTCAGTGAGATGCAGTTATGGCTTAAAAACAATTTCTATGATAGAAAAGAGATGAGAGCACTAATGAAAGTGGCTTTCTGACAAATCAAGTTTTTCCTAACTGTTTTTATTCATTCATTTGATCTCAGTGCTGGAATTTTGCAACAGGAATTGGCTTGGTCTCTTTCAAAACATGAAGGGCCTAATCCCTTCCCATTAGAGAACAGGAAGTCATAAGCCAATCTTAGCAGTGGTAAAAAAAAAAGAATCTGAATTGTTATTTTAACATTGTTGTTGCACATAAACCAGAGAATTTTTTTCCTGCTACCATTTCAGCATGATGGCTTGATTAAAAGCTGATGTCTCCCCTAAATGGCACCTGTTTAGTACAAGAGACCCTTTGCACCAACTGCTCTCTACAGAGCCACAATTACACTACAGTTTCTCCCCATCACTATGAATGGACCTCAGAACATGTGCTGTGCAAATCCTTATTTATGTGCCACTGTGCTGTCCAGCTTTGGACAGTCTAACAATGACATGTCTAGTGTAAAGACTTTTTACACCTGCTCTAGGTGCATTCAAACAAAACTGATTCAAGTAGGAACAGGCAGTATTTTGTATTTTGACTTCTGTTCATGCATACTTGAAAACTGCATACTGTTATTGTCAAGTGTTATATGTGTGCCTGCTGGATCCCACCAGCCCAAACTCCCACTTATCCCCCAGCCCCCTCTAATGTTCTCAGTACACAGGTGTGTGCATGTGTGTATTTCTACTCCTGTGTGCAGTGTTCAAGCCCTGAGCAGTCTCATCTGCTCCTCCAAACCAGTGGCACTGCTTGACTGCCCAAGCACAGTGTTTCAGCCTCTCAAGCTCTTCCACTATACACTAGACTGAGCAAAGTGGCAAGAAACTCTGGTTTAACTTTGAGAATTCTGCAGGCTCCCTCAAAGAAGCAGGCGAATGAGGGCTAAAGCCATGGGTAGTTGAAATCTTGACTTCAGGGCCTACTGCATCCCCTCACTTGAATCTTCCCATTTTTAAGTGTTAACTTTCTCAACACAGAACCAGTGTGACCTCTCTGGGGCTCCCAAACCAGTTAATGAATTGGTCCAAATCAGAATGGAACTGGATCAACTTCAAGCATAGCTGCAGGTAAAATAAGCTGAACACGCCCCCAAAGTTCTTAACATTAAAGTACATGAGATTTTTTTTGTTTTCCCCAATATTAAAAAAATGGCTGGTAGTATTAGGCACTTGAAAATTAATGAGTTTTAAATACGAACATAGTACACCCCCAGTTTTGAAATACCCTGCTCTATTTTCTCTCTTCTCATCTTTCCCATCTGGTATGTTTTAGTAATAATTTAACAAATATTTTTCTTCAAGGCTGTCATTTTGGAAACACTAAACATTATCTTGTGAGGTAAATTAGGACACAAAGCCATCGCATGACATATATGTGATCACACATTGTCAATGGCAAAGACAGTAACAGAAATCCCAATATGTGCATCTTTGGAGTCTTCAGGAAAAGAAATTGGTAACATACAGCAAATAGTGAAGCTGAAAACTACATTAAGTTACATTTGACGAATGATCTGCAAAACTTACAAAACTGCAAAATCTCAATATAGGAAAGATTTCTTATTCCAATGATTTATTTTTGTTAAGATTTATTTATGAAAACTCAAACCCAGCTAGCTGTCTTCTACATTAAGCAAAACATTAACTCTACATAGCTCCTTAGTCCTTCTGAACTTTCTTCTCTCAGAGAATGAATCTACTATCAATCTACAGAGACTGCAGCCAGAAGTCTGTGTCCACTTCGACACTTTACACTCGTAACCACTGAAAAGAACTGTTAAGTACAGGTCCCTTTCCTAGATACTTTAGTCAATACAACTTATCAATAACTTCTGCTCATTATTGAGCTCAGATGAACTAATAAAGTAACATACAGAATGCTTCATAACCCATTATCAATTTCCCAGTTCAATTTGTCAGAATCTACCCCAGGTGTCAGGAAAAACCATTAGCCAACACTTTAGCCAAGACAAGACAGCAAACCTCACCTCAGATAAGCAGCTGCTGTTCTAGAGATTCCAATATTAGCAGAAAAAAATAAGACAATAAAAAGCTCCTGGAAAAAAAAGTCTAACAAACGTGTGCACCTTTTTCTTCATACCATCAGCATGTGATTATTTGGAGGTTATGATCTTATAAACCTTTCCCTGCAACTATACAAGGGTTAAAAATTACTCTAAAAATAAATATTTGTCAAGATTCTCACTGACATTGAAAGAAAATTTCTGGCTTTAAGAAAATGTGAGATATCACAAGATGCATGACAAAACAGCAACAGTTACTGACATTCAGTTTTCTTCCATTGGAAAAGATACTAGTGTTTTTTTTAAACTCCACATGCTGAAGTTTTCTAAAATAGATTTTCTGTCCTTTCTCTATGATTGCTGAACCTCATTCAGCCAGGGCACAGATAATATCTTTGGATAAAAGATTTGAAACCACAGTTTCTCCCATCCAAAGTTCAAGCTTTATAGAAGAAAAGCTTTTCTTCCACAGAGCCACAAACTTCACAAGAGAAAGTTATTTCCTCTGTTCTGTTCCCTCAGGAGGTGTTATATTCTTATAACCTGTCAGACTCACCCAGTCATGTTTGTAATTTATATTTAGTATAAGGTCATTTCTTTTCAGACCACCTCTGGATATTCCTAACACAAGGAGTGAATTCCGATTACTCACTTTTCTCCCAAAGATTAGACACCTTTCCTGGTGTTACTGTGCACTGGAAGTCTATAGGAAACAACTTTCTGAATATCCAAAAATCACAGCCAAAGATAAGAGAGACAGACATTAAAGAATTTTGCTGCACCTCGAAATGTAATTGCAAAGCAATGAGTATGAGACTTCCCATACGTTCAAAATAACATGTATGTTTAATTAGAAGAGAAAAAAACTTAGCTGAAATATATACATGCACACACTCAGAGAGAAGGAAACTCTCAAATTTTTTTAGCCAATCTGATCAAGGCTATGGAGAGAAGATAGACAAGCTGGATACTATAATTTCAGAACAAGTTAAACTCACCTACGAAAATGATCAGGACAGTACTAATTTTCTAATGGCAAAAGGTGCCAAAGGGGCATCTCTGCAATGATATCCTACACAACAGGGGACAGGGGGTGGATAACTAGAAAGAAACAGATTTGGAGAGAGTACAGAAATGTGGATAGTTGGCAGGGATCTTATCAGGTTTCAGGCAACAGTCAAACCAAAAGGAAAACTGCTGTAGAAATTCAAACTCCATTTACGTCCTTAACCAATTCAATCCTTTCCTGCACACTTCTACTAGAAGTGAATAATTCCTTACCGACACACAGCATTGTCACTCAGAGCCAGAATTTACAGTGAGAACCACAGTGTAAATGTTATTAACAAGCAGCTGTACTGCATCATTCAAAGGTCCATGCAGCCAAATAATCCCTCTTAAGTGGTGATCAGTTGAAGGGATTGCCTAGGGAAAGGTTTAAAGGGTAAATATACAAACTTATTTCCAACTGTTCAAGAATTCGTGGCTGAAGGATGGATATTTTGTTTAATATCTATTGTTGGATTTTTTTCCCCCCATGAATTTGTGTAATTGCTTTGGGAATATGTAATATCTTGTGGACATAATTTCTATGGCATATTATTATATCGTGTAAAGTAAGTACCTCCCTTTTAGTACTGTGAACCTGCCAGATGATAATTTCATTGCATGACCCTAGTTCTTACATTATGGGAGGGAGTAAATAGTCATTCTCTATTCACCTGCTCCACATACAGAATCACTTCATGGATCTCTGTCCTGTCCTGTCCTCCCTCAGGCTGACTCTTCGTCTGTTTAGAAATTCCTGTGAGAGAACTTTTTCTTACCTGTGCTCATCCTTGTTACCTCTCTCACCATGTTTTCTAGATGTACTATCTGGGGGGGAAGGATGGCAGGGAGGGATAAGATCAGTGCAGTTGGAAACTATGCCATTCCCTATTTTTCTCTTTTGTTCACTAACATTATCATTCCAAGATGCCTGCAAGCATGAATACACAATTATGCACTATTTCAAATTTTTTTCTTTGTAATTATAAGGAAAAAAAATTGAAAACGCTATACTGTCTTCAAGCCCAACTCAGGCCAGCTTCTGAGTAAATAGCCTTGCCTTTTCCACATTCTTACTGACGTCCCAGTTATACAACATTATTTGTATAGGCAGACCAACCTTGCAAAACTTCCAGCTTTGATATATTTTCCAGACTGGGTATCTGCTGCAGGTTTAACATGTTTGGAAAGTTTTAGGGAACAAAACCAAGCCAATTCAGATAATGAAATATAGGAAAAGTATGTGTTGTTTAGTGCTTTTGAAAAGCTCCAATGCCTTCATAAGCTACAGCAAAGATTTTAAATTGGCAGTAAACTGCCCTCATATCAGGGACATATTTTCCCATTCCTATGAAAATACTACCAAATTTGGCCAAGTTACAGCTCTTTGCTGAGTCTATATAAATTATGGTTTTCTAAAGATTCACTAGAGTTTTGACAGCTGAAGATGAAATCAGTATGCACTATCTCCTGTCTACACCTCTGTTAACCAGATTGAACATTCATTATTTGCTTTAGGCAGTTAAGGTTTGTCATGGATCTGCAGAAACTGAACTGGACTTTTCCTGCACCTGAAGCTTCCAGAGGTTGCTATGACACCAGACAAAAATTTGAAGCGTTCACCTGTGTATTATTGCCTACCCAGTATTACACATACTGGCATGGAGGCCCCTTGGAAGAAAATGAGGAGGGAAACACAGTGGCAGAAAAACAGAAGGGACAAAAGAAAGCAGGGAGGTGGTTGAGACTAGAACAAGGGTCCTGATAGAGATATGCTAAGACACAAAACATGGTATATTCACATCGAGTTGGAGAGAGAGGAATAGAAGGGACAAGTTCAGAAAAAGCTAACTGATGATTTGATGAATTGCTGGGGAAATGACAAATTTAGAGAATGACCTGGGAGCTTAGAGAAGGAAAACAGAATGTAAAGGTAAGTAGTATGAAGACATTCTTGGAAAAGAACAGGGACAGAAAGGATGAAGAGTACATAAAGCTTCCTCGAGTCCACATCAGATCTCATTATCCCTGACTCTCAACATTCTTCTTCTATCAGCAAATATTGCTAAAATTCACTGAAAGAGTTCTCATCCCCCTCTAGTGCTCATCTGTTACTATTAAGTAATTTTGACATAACTAACATAAAAATAAAGACTAAATAGAAAGAGCAATCTATGCTTACGTCTCTCACTGCAAGATGATGTATAACAAGCTTCCTATTTGCATATACATGTACAGAGAAAATCCTTTCATTCAGGAGCAAAACGTAGAGATCTTAAAAAATTACTGCTGGAACTATTCAGTGCCTAAGTAGCAACTCTTAAAAAAAAGAAAATTATTTAAAGTTTTAAAAACAGTAAAAAAATTCCCTTTACAGAGGCAAACTGTAGCTAGTTCTTTTACACCACTTAAAATTAATAATTAAATATGCTGTAAAGCCACACTTGATACAGAAAGAGCATTTAACATCACTTTCCCACCTGTTGGAAGCAACTTTAAAAATACTCACATTTTTAAATGACGAGATAGTTGCACACTGAAATAATTTGCAAACAGTATTAAGAAAGGTGCCATGGCTCTTCTCTGCTTCAAGCACTTGCTCTTCGAGGAAGGAAACATGGTGCGCAACCATTTTAACAAATGCCTATGGAGAGAGGAAAAACACCTAATGAAAATGAAAAGCACCTGTGCTGGGTTTCAACATTATACTAGCTAGAAATCAGGTGGCCAATAAAAAGCTTTAACAAGATTTCAGAGTGCACTATTGCTAATACAAATATCCAAGGGACACATACTCATAAGTACACTACAGATGTTTACAGTCACAAGAACCACTGGTCATGACCTAATGCTAATTTTTCTCCTTACCTAAAGGCAGGCTTTTGCTCCCTTTTCAGCATACAGAATATGTAAGCACTTGCAAAGTGTCTAAACATCTGGCAACATCTCACAGTGAGGTGAAAAGCTCTTCAGAACGCGCAAAGACATTGCTACTACTGGTGGGAGACAGAAAGTGGCCAAAGTGGTAGGAGGGAGGAGACAGCAGAGGAAAAGAGAAAGACAGGTGATTTTAGTTAAAAAAAGGTCAGGAAATATTGACCTAAAACATACATGTGTTCAGCCTCACAGCTTCATTTGAAATTTGAGCCATAAGGGAAAGACAACTATAAAGAACACAGTATTTATTTGTTAAAATACAGAACAATTTGTAAAGAGTTTTTATACTCTCTATTAATGATTAAGCTTCACTTTTTTTATCTGAGAAGTTGAGCACTGCCCATTTTAGGGATGGGGAAGGTGAGGTTGAACAGGTAAATTAATTGCCCAAAAAGCACCAGTGGCAACATCAAAATTAACACGCAGCAGATTCTCACCCTATATAACGATTACACAACAGTCCTTTCCTTTTCTACTCTTGGGAGTACAAGTTAATTTCTCCCTTGAAAATCCCCAGGGATGCTAAGATTTAAATTTAAAAGTTCTAATTAAACATAAACTACTGCTCAAGTTGCCAATTTAATCTTGTGGTCTCAGGTTACTGCCATTACAGCTTGCTACGTTAGGGAGAAAAACTGATTCTTAGCCAATCAAGGTATTATCTTCCCTTGATAACCAAAAAAAGTATCTCAACAAAATTCTGCTGCATTATTCAAGGGCAACCTGTAGCCTAGCAAAGACTGGTGTTTTCTTCATATTCCAAATTACTATGTCCCTACAAGCTGTACTAAGGGAATAGGGTCATGAAGGGTTTCTTTTTTGCCTTCCCTGTATTAAAGGGAAAAAATAAGGAGTCCTGTTGCTTACTGTACCTTTGGCACAAGTAATGGCTTAGTTTTAATTTTATTTTCCCGTTCAAAGACAAAAAACACACACCCCCACTCCCCCCAAAATCCCAACCACCTATAAGCATGGAATTTGCAAAAAGACCTAAGTGGGTGAGGCACTTCCAACAACAGTGGTTTGAAACCTGATTCAGTTAGCCGTTTTTCACAGTCCTAGCTTAAGTATACATTCAAGTATGACCAAATTGTCAAGTATGCTGAGAACCCACTAGCTATTCCTTAGACTGGGGTACCCAGTTCTGAAAATTAGACAGATTTCTAAACAGGTTAACAGTTGGTTCCCACTTTTGGTCTAAAATGCCTAGCCTCAATTTCCTGTCTGAAGCTTTCTCTCAGTGCTATGTAAATCCATAAAATATGAAGTGGTTTGATAAGTCTGTTATCAAATGTACATGTAAAAATGTAAACTATATACAAAAAAGGAACTGCATTTAAAGAAAACTTGCTGAAAGCTAAGTCAATTGCTCTGCCCCTCCCAGTGTAATAAACCTTACCAGAAGGTATTACTTTGTACAGGGGTAGAGCCTGAAGCTTAAGCACTGCCTACCTGCATTTAATGCCACAAACACTTGGTTTCTTTCACTTTGACTCAGTTAAAACTTATTTTAAACATTACACAATTTATGTCATCATGTATTCATTATATTCCTCCCAGAGGCAAACTTGCCCTCAATTGACACAAATTTTAACATACTGTTTACTAAATATGGTGAGGGCATCATCTTAGTGAGTCATACTGGCTTTCCCTTATTCAGGATACAATAAACAGACACAACAGAAGATGGGAGCTCAGAGATATCTCCACTACTACATAAGATGATCATCAACAACTTAAAATGGGTATGTCCAGCAATGGATGCGAGACTTGAATTTCTGAATTTATAAATGGTTTCACAGATACTCCTTCAAGCCACAAAGCAAATTAACATTATTAGTAGTATTATTAGCATCAAAACCACAACTAATGCTTTTAATCTACTATTAGGAATTGAAGAATCCACAGCAATAAATTACTCAGTGATGTTCCAAAACCATAAACACTTATATGTGCTGAACCATGGATAAACATATTGATTTAAAAACAAACATAAGACAATAGAGAGCCATAAACATCTGAGTGCTCCATATAAACACCTGGACAGTTAACCTATAAAACACATAAAAAGAAGGATGTAAATTTTCTAATGCAATGAACAAACCTCTAATTTATCAACTTTGGCATAGATATGGTTCATTTCCATCACCTTCTCTTTAATGAGTGGAATGGTCTTGTCCAGGATCTCTGATGTATCACCTCTAATCTGCATGAAAAAAAGTATCTCACATGAGGACGAATCTGAAGATAAACACTACACTTTTTTTCACTTCACTATTTTTTCACATGGGTATTTAAAAAAATATGTATTCAGAAAAGATATCACAAGGGCCCTTTTGCAGTATGTTATAAAGTACAGATTGGGAAAATAACTTACTTTCTCAAGTAATCCAGGAGAAAACAAAAAACCCAATAGTAGATGATAGGACTCCCACATCAAAACTGTAACCAGATCCTTCCCTCTTCTTCCCACATTTCCACACTACTCCTCCAAGAGATATCTACTTTCTATTATGAAATACTGAAGACATAAGGGGTAATGATGCAATTAAAATGAAAACTGCCTCTATACCATCCATCATGCTTTGATTTTATTGGAGAAGAGATAATTCATACTACTTCTCAATCAGGATTTGAAAAGCCTATGGCAAGTAGTCCTAATTCAGGAGTAATAGGAAGGTCACTCTTAGCTATGAACAAGGTGGTAAAAGACTGTTTACACCTACCTAATGTGATTCAGTTTGCAATACAGACCGGCATTAACACAGAAACAAAGAAATGTCTGTCCTGAGTCACATCTTTGAATACATCACTTCTAGTATCTTGCCTTCAGCGGGTGCTCAGGAAGAGAGTTCTCAGGAGAGCAAGAATCTTTGCACAAAATTATAGCGCAGGCACCCCAGAGAAAGCTTCTGCTCCCTGGTCCCTCTCAGTGTCCACAGCATAAGCACCCTAATACAGGAAAGATTATAGTGGGGGTTTGTTACCTAATACAGCCAGGTTTGTTTCTGATACCTATACAAGAGCCTGAACCTTATCCTGCTAAGTGTTGTGTTAGCAAGAATTACCCAATTTCCTATACAAACAACTGCCAGTGCTTTGTTAGGTGGCAATAACATACACCTCCAAGCAGAGGACTACAGCTAATGGAATGCACAAGCCAAAAATGATGGATAAGACAAGAACTGGGAAAAGCTCTCTGAAGTGAAAGGTAAAAGCAAAACCAGGAAAACCTCCACTAAAACACCCAAATAGGCATTCTAATTTGTAAAACAAAGCAGCAACATATTGACAAGACAAAGAAGAGAGGCAATTGAGCCCACTTTCATACAAGTTTTCTCTCTCAACTACAATGGAGTACAGGAGGTCTTGATTCACTTCTGGATTAAAGCCATCCTGCCTACAGTTTTAGTAGACTTAAAGAATAAAGAGGAACAAGGATCCCTTCAAAAGAGATTTTTGTCCCAAAGATGGAGCTAGAAGATATTCTTCCTTCAGCTTCACAGGGAAGAGTAAGGATCTTTTACCTAGAACAGTGAGAATCTAATACTAGCCCAACTAATACAGGGAATTCTCTGGGTGTGTTGAGATTTAATCCAGAATCTCAAATCATGCATAAATGCCTGCTATAAAGTCATTTAACCCATGGACCATGCTTTATAGACTCTAATAAATATTTGGATGTTATATTGGTGATCATATGACTCATTTGTCTTTTTTTTTTTTTTTAAGAAGTTATATTTTTAAAAGCTGAGTATAGACAAAGCTATATACATATAAAATGACATAGTAAGATTTTATGGTATTTTTATTACCAGAATGAGTACATGCAGATCAAGTGCTTTTATACTGCTATAATTGTTCTGTAATGGGCGATCAAACAGACATATCAAAACCAGTAGCAGTTTTCTATTGTAAACAAACCAACAGCATCTCCTCTATTACTGGTCTCAACACTACATCCACCAAATATACATATGGACACCTCCCCCAGCAGTGACATAACTGTATTCACAGACACTGTTATCTTCACAATATGTACTTTATGTCCAACAGAAATTGAGCACAGACACTTGGGCAGGATCCCCATGAATGGAGTCAGACTTATATTTCCTAATGTTAAATAAAAATACAAAATGGATGCATAATGAAGGAGCCAAAGCAGATGAATTCCAGGTTTCTTCTATTGAATTATTTTGGGTCAACAATAGACAAAAAACCCCTTCCTCTAAGATAAAGCACCTGTGAAAAACAGATTGGTGATCTGAGGTGAGGTTCATACTCGGGTAAACTACATCAAATTAAAATTTGAGCCTGGAATTTCCAAAGATAAGGCAACAAACTTGTTTGCTAATGTTAGTCTCAGAAATGACTAGGGAAAAGCCACTCTTGCAGCTAAATGCTAGATAACTACTGCAAATATAAACACAGCTTGGGGCATAGCCAGAAAGAGGAAGATATTGTACAGACCCACTACAAAAACTATCAACACAACAAGGTCAGAGCAGACATGGAACAAATCTAAACCATCTTTCTTTGAGGGTGAAAGCAAACAACCAATACAAGACACAGGAGAGTTGATCTTCCAGCAAGCAGCCTGTGATGAAAGGAAATGATATGCAAATATGATTCAAGAAGAGTCATTCTGCAGCAGTTTGCAGAACCACAGCGACAGAGAGGTTCAAGAGAAGTCAGCACACAACAAAGAGAAATGATTCTCTTGGTGCAGCAACCTCTCATGAGCCAGAGAAAGCAGGACTGGTCTGAAACCCCACATTATAAAACAAGATTTATTTCCCTTGTGCAATATATTTTACTTTATCTTACTGAACATTTAGCTGAGTGCTCAACACAAGCACCAGAGCACAGCAGTCCATGGGGAAAATCCTGTATTCCTCCTACTAGATTTTACTATGCTAATAGGAGGAGGGGGTAAGGAGGGAAGGTTTGATTGAGTTTTGTCTTCTAATTCAAGTCAGCAAGACTAAGCTCAAGAAGGTAGCAAACCAACAGCACCAAAGTCAGTTAGGAGACAGCACAACCAGAGTATGAATGATGAATTAGAACACAAACCAGGAATGGCATATTGCACGTAGAGCAGTGAGACCTGATCCTTGCATACACTGCAGTTCAAGCTGTACCAGTTAAACAAGCACAGATTCTTGTTATTTTGTATTTTATAAAAACTATTATTTTTTCAGGAAAAGAAAAAAATGTAGCTGGAGCCACAAGTCGAAGATACTGTGCAAATTCTAGTTGCCCCAGGGACTTTTTTGAAAGGATGTGTGTATATTCTTTTTCAGTCTTTGATCCCATATATTAACACAAAGTAACATAAAAGGATCAAGAGTAAAAGTAACCACTGTAAACTGAACAGCTCTATGGTGAGAAAAGACAAAACTCAGGTTGGTATGTTCCTGAGAAGTTAGCAAACCCTAGCCACAGCGAACCAAACAAAACAACCTTTTCCTCTCCTTTTGCCAGTGATGAAACCAGGTTTCACACCTAGGGCCTCAGGGAGGAGGTTCCCAAACTGTAAGTCCATGAGACAAAGATAAGCAGTTAGCAGCTAGTCTGTGGAACCATAACAAAGCAAGATTTACAAACGTATCATTTCCATGGGGAGAGTTCTGCAAGAAGGTTCAGTGCCTTAGAACCACTAACCTGTGGCTTTATAAACTGGTGGCCATGCTGGAGGATCAATGTTTAAAAAAAAAAAGAAAAAAAAGAGGAGTTTCAAACATAAGCAGAGATTTTGTATCTATCCATACATCTTCTTCAAGGATTAAAAGCCAAGGAAATGGAAATAGTGAATTTCCACATGTAACTAAACCAGCTGTGAATCTCTGAATAACTATAATTTTCAATCATGCTTTAAGATATACAAGAAGCATGAAGAATTGTATCTAAAAAGGTAACCAACAATGACCCATGAAACAATATGAGAACAGCATATACAAGAGTCTGGTTATTACAATGAAAATGGTTTGGTTTTGTGTCACTGGTTCAAATCATAGATCAGTTAAAAATCACAACTTGAAAATTATATTTGAGAGGCTCTGAATCCACTTAAAAGACATTAATTTACTTTGTTGAAGTCAGTGCCCTAAGGAAGACATCACAAAAAGTTAAATAACTGGCACTAAAATTCTTCTAGCACAATCTTTCCATTGCAAGATGCTCCTTCCCTGGCAAGTGTAAGGAATACTGAACTGTATTTACATTGTCACTGCAACTCACCCACCGTACAAGTGTCCATTTTAAGTGCTGTGCCAATGCTTTGCCTAGCCAGGTACAACAGCGTGACACTGGAAATAGCATTTTGTCTTCCTAGCACTGAGGATCCAGGTTTTTTTCCTCATTGCAATATTCAAATGTGTGCATCGAGTACTTGTAAGTGAAAAGCAGCAGCACACTCAAAGGAGAAAAGCCAAAGCCCTCTATGTGATTACTTTACTGAATGCCTGATTGGAAAAAAGCAAGATTCCCCTTGCCTTTTGTTGGCATAGACAAAAGACCAAATTATTGCTAGGCAAAGAAGATGGAATCAGTTCAAATACTGTATTATATTTATCAGATTCCTGGATACTACTTGATGTGTTGCTGAATGGAACCTTACATTGTAGGTACTGGATAGAAAGGCACAGAATCAGCACCTGACTGCAGTGCTTTGATGTTCCTGGATAAGGTCAAGAATCTGCATACTAGAGAATTATTCACAGCCTGCAGATTGTGGAAAAATGTTTTCAGGGACAATGCAAAGATAATGTATTGGAACTAGGTTAGTGTTTTTTGTAGAAATGGTTGGCAAGAGAAGAAGTCTCACAGGACGTTTAAAAGCCCACTGGATCCATTTGAACAAGCTAACCATCTTCCCTATGTTGGAACCAAAAATGTAAGGTGCATGCCTGATTGATGGGAAAAAGCATAAGGTACATACAAAATCTTAGCATAAGCTCCCAAAGAGAAGAACTGCGTGAATGAACTTAATAAGAAATCAGACAGAATACAATCAGCAGTGAAGAGCTATCGATTGAAACCACTTGCTTTGAGCAGGTGATGCCGTATCACTGAAGCAATCACCACATTTCAGGAATGAACTCAAAGGGGTTTTTGGCCCGACAAACCAATCTCTTGTATTCTACAATTTGCACAGACTAAATGGGCTGTACTACAGAATCTAAAGCTGACAAATGTAAGCCAAGA